GGACTGCTTTCTGTTGGCATACAAAGCTCAGATGAGCAGTGTTGTTACCAGGCTGCTCTGAGGCTTCAAGAATAGTGACTGGAGAATGAGTTTGGGGATGGATGGACAGAAAATGGAGGAATTTTACAGCAAAAAGATGAGGAAACTGGTTAATTTGCTACTTTGTTCTACGTCAGTCGTGTATTGCTTATATTTTTTGCATTAGTAGGAAGAGAGTGTACTGGGTTAGAATTACAGAAACACTAAGGTTGCAAAGACCTCTAATGTCACCTAGCCCAACCATCAGCCCATTTTTCCCCCCCCCTCCCCCTCGCCATCAGCACAGCAATGACACACCAGGACAGCGTAGCAACTTTTGCCCATCTCCAGTGCAGCACCGCAATGCTTTGTGGGGCACCCATGGGCTCAGCCCATCCACCAGCACAGCGTGCTCTCTGCAGAGCTGAGCCCAGCCCCCATCCACCCTGGGGGGGCTTTAGAGTGCTCTGAGTGCTTCACACTGATTTTTCCAACCCTTGAGACCCGCTGACAGCGAGGAGGAACCTGCCCCATACATGGCAGATGGTCTGATGAGCAATCAGGCTCATTGCTTGCTGGGCAGGAGGGGGAATGGCAAAGCTGAGATTAGAGAGGAAATCAAGACAGAGGTTTCTTCCGCACAGCGAGGTGTTATTATTATCATCAAAACCCCGGAGTGTTGAAAAACAATCAAACCCCGGTGGCAGCAACCTGTGCACTGCAGCAAGTGCAATCCAACGCCAAACGTGTCCTTGTCTGGGACTTGAGCCTGACATCTCTAGCTCTTGAAATTTGGGAGAAGGTAGCAATTTGGCCTCGCTGCTTATTTGTTGCTGAAGAAAAGGATTAGCATCCTTGGCACCAAGCTGTGCTTCCACTCATGGTGGGAAGCCTTCAGGGATGGAGACCCAGGACAGCGGCTCTGACTGCGCTTCTGCAGACTGCTCTGAAAGAGGAGGAGATGCACCTGGCAGCTGCTTAATGAAAGCTCTGAGGGAGACCTGCAGAGCCCTTTAGCAGAGGTGTTAATTACTAATTGTGCCTGGGATAAAATGGGCTCACCCAAGCGTGGCAGGGAGCTTGCCACTGTAGAATAATGTATCTGCACCTGTAATTGATGCAGTGAACTCCAGGGATTGCAGGGAGGATGCTCTGTGAGCAGTCACACCTTTGGCTCTATGCTGGGCTGTTCCAGGTGCCACCAGGTCTCCCCTGTCCATTGTGTCATCTGAGTTCTGCTCCTAGCATAGGGGACAACAGAGCTGCCTGGGACAGCTGCAGGGCCATTGGCAAGGATGCTGGGTGCACTGCTGACATGTGGCCGAGGGATACATTATGAAAGGAGTAACCCATAGATCACCATGATGGAGATTTACTTTTAATAAGGCAATAATTTGCTTGATGCATCACACTGCAGCCAGGCAGGGCGCAACAAGATGCTCCATCACTTCTCAATAGGCCGTCACCCTTGGGTCAGGCACCAAGGAAAAAGCATCCTCCTCCCTCCCCCCACCCCACGCTCCCCCATAGGGTGTGCAGAAGGGCACAGGGTGATGCTCGTGGGCAGCTGCTGTTTGGGGATGTGCAGGAACTGCCACATTGCAGAGTGAGCAACGCTGGCAGTAAAACAACAGAACCATTCTCTGAGCAATTTGTAGCAATTAATAGCCATTCCCAGGAATGAAATGTTAATTAATTCATTCTGCGAGCCACGCTTTTATTTAAGGTATTTGTGGGTGTTCTCGGTACTTTTATTAAGCAATTAAAACGCGTCCGAGAAAATATTTATCTATTTTAAGTCACTCTTAGTAAACACAATTTATATGGCAAGCAACTGCTTCATTTTGCATTGTTAATTAAAAATTGCAGCTCACTGTGCTTCCCCGGAGTGCGCTCAGTCGGAACAGCCCCTGTGTGCGCAGGGCACAGTCAGCAGGGCAGGATGCTGCTGTCACTGCATGGTGCTGGTGGAAAACAATGAATGGGAGCAGGGGAATGGCACTCCAGAACAAATCCATTCCAGCCAGACCTTGTTGCCATGGGGAAATGCTCACTGCCCTGCAGCACTGTTGGTTGGAGGGGCCAGGATGGCACCGGCAGCCTTGGGTGCTGCCCAGCTTGGAGAGAAGGAAAGCAGCTGCGGTACCATGTGAGCAGGCTTGCACATTTTCACCTGACTCATCCAGGCGGCACCGAACCAGTCTGGTGTCACTTGGGAGGGCTGTTACATGACAGGGCTACAAATTCCCCTAAACAGCTTGTTCTCACATGCCATTTGTTGAAGAATTACAAGCCCTCTTGTTGCAGACAGAGGAATTTATTTGCTGTGCTGAGCTCAGCCAGATGCAGTGCGCACTGGCGGTGCTGTGGGCACACAGTGCCCTCCTGCAGCTCTGTGAGCCCAGCAGAAGTGAGCAAAGTCTCGTGGGAAGAAGAACAGGCTCCTGAAGCTTGCATCAAGATCTCCATTTTGAACTTTTCTCCTTTGCTGGGGTTGGTGAGGGAGATGCTGAACTGAGGGCAGTTGGTTCTGCCCCCAAAGAAACATCCCCATGGAGCTGCAGGGAGCTTGGGAACACCAAATGGAACTCATCACCTACACCCAGATGTTCTGCTTTGAGGGAGAGAGGTGGCAGCTCTGGCTGGATGGAATGGAAATGCATCAGATGGTCACAGAGTCATGGGATGGATTGGTTTGGAATGGAACATGGAGGTGAATGTATGTATCTGGCACGGAGCCACGGAGGCACCTTGGCTGTGTGTAAATGCCTTCAGGATGATGCTGTGAATGGAGGAAGCACCAAATAGTGGCAGGAGAAGGGCTGGAAGCTGCAAGGTGAGGAGACAGTGGGAAGAGATTACAAGGGGATGAAACAAAGGATGGAGTGAAGGTCGGAGCCCCAAACCAGCATCCCAGAGCTGCTGAAAGGGGAGGGAACAAACGGCCAACAACTATGGTTTCATGGCAGGTGAAGATCAAGCAAGAAAATCTCCTTCGAGGCTTTGAGCCAAGCTCACCAGCACAAATTAATGAAGAGGTAGCAGAGGTGGAAATTGCAGGCTGGGCTCCCCAGATCAAAGCCAATGAGCTCAGCCCTGTGGGCTGCACCGACCTGCAAGGGGAGAGAGCAACAAGACGGGCTGGGGGAGGCCAGGCCCCCCATGCATCCTGGGGTGGTTTGGAGGATGTGTGCTGGGCAGGGTGCTGAGATGCAGACACACTGAGCTGATGGCCTCGGGCAGGACCTGCACATCCTCTGTGTCTTTTTGGCTGCATTTTATTTACGTTCTGCTTATAAATAATTACTGAGAGGTTAATAGGTGAGCAAGGCACGTTACAGGCTTGTTAAAACCAGGAGGAATTTGCCTTCTGGCTGTCTGCGAGTGCATGGTGAGGAGCTTTACAGGAGGGTTATCAGCCATCGTTATTAAAAACCGATTTGACATTATAAAAGATCCATACTGCTTGTTCAGCCACATTGATTTAGCAGTGTTAAGGCTTGGAAAACTGGAGCAAGAACCTTGATCTCTGCTGAAGCACGAAAAATTGCTGTTTGTGACACATCTCTACGCTCGGCAAAGCTAGCTTTGCAGAAGCAATGGGTTTTGAACACGCACAGAAAGCATTGTGTGGCGTTGCTTCATATCTGTTTTTCTGAGCTGCTGCTGAGTCACAGAACTTCTATCCTCTGGAAATGTGCTCCCTGCCCCCATGGACAGGTTGGGCTGCTGCAAAACACAGTGCTGTGCATTTCAGTGGGCAACAGCAAGGTCTTGTGCTGTCAGTCGCTATGAGGAAATGATGATCTGAGGTGATCTTCCAACCTTAATGACTCCAGGAAATGGCTGTGACCCTCTGGTGCACACAGCAAGATCCAGTGGGCTACAGAGTCTGCAAGTGCACCTGGATGGGTCAGAGTCATCGAGGAGCGCAGCAGAGCTTCAGTTTCATTACATCTGGAAGGAGCAAAGCAGCACCCAAATGTGATTTGCCTTTGGAGCAGTTGACTGGAAGGCGTCACTTGTGCTGATTTTCCCATACCTGGAGCTTCCCTCGTCAATCACAGCCCTAAAAATCCGAGCAGCATCTCCTGATTAATTATTGAACGGGAATCCAGGGAGGAAGGCAGCGTGGGGAAGCTGGAGCAGCCAGTCAGCATCCATTAGAGGTGTGAAGATAAATGAGAAGAGAGAGCAGATAAGTGCATACAAACCAGCTTCCATCTGTGCTGCTAATACCTCTCTTCTGAGCCGCTCGTGTTACTGGCTGCAGGGTGATGCCTCACAGCTCTCCTGTCCTCATCCTGTTAGGTTCACACTCGTGGGCCCTTAGGATTTGTCTGTCTGACCTCTGCCCAGCACATCCCCTGTCCCCAATCATGCCACCACAGGAGAGCTGCCCTGGGCACAACATCAGCAGTTCCTCGGGGAAATCCTCTCCTTTCCAATGTGCCCATCACTCTTCTGGGGAGATTTATTATATTTTCCTCCGCTCTCTTTTCCTTTCTCCCAGGAGCGGATGGAGTTTCACACTGCATGACAGCATCTCCAGTTCTCTCCACCCGCTCTGGAGTGGCAGGTTGCCAGATGGTGCCCCGTTAGGTCACATTTGCTCATTGTTTGGCAAACAGCGGCTTAATTCAAGTGCTGAGTTGACAGCTTGTTCTCTGAGACAATTTGCAAGTTGTAGAGCTGCAAATGCCAGCTTGGCTTTCCAGGGTGATGTTATTTCAGCTGCCTTCAAGGGATGAAGTTCTTTTTCACTGGAGAAAAATAGATAGAAAGAAGAAAAGGGGAAAGGGGGTGGAAGCAGGACGAAGCTGAAAAGGTTTATAGTGTTTTTGTGGTGGGAATGCCAGCGGTGTTGGTTGGCAGGGGAGGGGCACTGTGTTCTCTACCAGCACAGGCTGTCCTCATCCCATCCCTGCTGTCACTGGCAAGTGGAAAGCAGTGCAACACCACTCTGCTTCCTCGTCCTGCAGGTGGGCGAAGAAAGGCCAGGTGATAAAGGAAGCATCCGGTGACTTCTATGAAACCATCGTGGATCACACCTTCTTCTTCGAGCCCGTCTCCTGCGAGGTCACCAACGCGCTGGGCAGCACCAACATCAGCAGGACTGTGGATGTCTACTGTGAGTAACCTGCCAGAGCTGCTGGCCACAGCTGGGGGCGGCATCACCTTCCCTGAGCAGGGTTTGCTGGGCTCTCACTCCACGCGTGGGGCCGCGGTCTCCTCCTGCCTCACAGCCCTGCTGGAGGCTTCCTGGGGTCTTTAGGATTATAAGGTGCCATGGGTTGGGTGTCCCGTATGGCTGTGCCCCTTTGGTACCCCAACACCAACGGGTCTGCAGCTCCTCCTGGCGCAGTGATTGCACTGCTTTGGGGTTCTGGTGGGGTAATGCTGCTGTGCTCTGTGCAGTTGGGCCCCGGATGACGACAGAACCACAGTCCCTGCTCGTTGACCTGGGCTCCGATGCCGTCTTCAACTGCGCCTGGACTGGGAACCCCTCCCTCACCATCGTCTGGATGAAGCGGGGCTCAGGCGTGGTAAGGGTCGCTGCAGGGCAGTGGGGCGTGAGGTTCTTCATGGTTCCCCCTGCTTTGGTGAAATCAGGCAGTGCTCTCAGACACGTGGTCTGATCTTGGGTGGTTCTGTGTGGAGCCAGGAGCTGGACTCAGCAATCCTCATGGGACACTTCCAGCTTGGGATGTTCTGTGATTCTGTGGCCCTGGAAGGCAATCACTGGGCGCATGCATGGGGAAATCACTGCCTTCATTGCTGAGGTGTTTTTCCCAAACCATCACAGCCTTGGGCAAGCTGAGATCTTGAGGCAGCTGAGGAATCCCACTGGGTCTGTAATCCTCTGGCTTCCCATCCCACAGTGGCAGCTGTTGTTTCTCTTGGTTATCACTGTGATTTGCACGCAGGCAGTGCTTTCACACTACAAAGCTGCTGTTCCCTTTTCTCAAAGCTTTCAGAGCAGTGCAGGGAGCCACGCACGGGGGCTTCCTGACCCTCAGTACACAGCCCCAGCCACACTCCAGCTCTCTGCTCACCCACACGTATCAGCACACAGAGATGCTTTCTCAGCTTTCATTTGGCCAATTCTGCTGGCTTGGGGCCTCCGGGCAGCTCCAGCTCAGCCCTTGGCCATGGGCACTGCGTAGCATTTTGAGAAGGAAGGGGGGGTGAGGGACTGCAGTGTGCAAAGTCCTGAGAGAGAGGTGAGGTGAACCAAGAGGAATTAGCCCCAGGGTGTGCATTTCCAGCAGGGATAATTGGAAACACCGCTCAAAAGCCACATTATTTGCATGCCCCAGTGCTGGCGTTGTGCTGACAGCTTCAGCCAGATCAGCACTTATCAAGATATCCTGAAGCTGTTAATTGCACAGCCAGGGCAGGAGGGCAGGGTGCTGCTGCCCAGGGTGCAGCTTGCCAAAGGCAGCAGAGCTTCCCCCGGCCATCCAGAGCTCTGGGGGCTGCCAGCTCTCCTGCTCGACTTCCTATCATCTGTCCTGAGATCGGCCCCCTCCTCTCTTCCAGGTCCTGAGCAATGAGAACAAGCTGACGCTCAAGTCCGTCCGCCAGGAAGACGCTGGGAAATACGTGTGCCGTGCTGTGGTGCCGCGGGTGGGCGCAGGGGAGCGCGAGGTGACACTCACTGTCAACGGTACCGATGGCTTCCCTTGGCTACTCCATCTTTGTGTCTTTGCCGTGCTGATGGGGTGGGGGGGGTTGGATGTGATGATCTGGGTGGGTCTTCTCCATCCTTAGCGATTCAGTGATTCTATGATTCCATCACCATTCGTGGTGCTGCAGTTGGAATGATGCCCTTGGATATTTGCTTTGGGATGCCTGGGGGGGGATGGGGGATGCTCCTACCCCGCGAGCAATTTAGGCTTTGTATTCATTTCCTTGGAGAGTCGTGGGTTAAGCAAAAAAATACTGGCGTTATCTAAGGTCTGCTTGGTTCTGTATTATCAGCAGGGGTTTATTGAGTAGCTGGGAGTTGGCGTTTTAAATCTTTAATAGATTTATCTTGCAAAACCCTCGCAAGGTCGGAGAGCCTTGTTGTCTGTGCTGTACAGCTTGAGAGCTGGGAACTGAGTCTGGCTCCAAGACTGGCAGCCTAATCAGCATCTGGGGGAGCAGGCAGAACACTGAGCCCCCAGGATCTGCCCCCCACCCCGATGGGAGCTGGGCAGCACCCTGCAGGGTCAGGGCCACCCAGCCAGGACCTGTGGCAGCTGGTGGTGAAATGTGCCTTGTGTGAAGGGAGGGCGCAGGGCAGGCTGCACAATATAAGCAGGGGATGAATTTTGCATCGTCTCTCACCTGCGTGACAAACTGGCAGGCTTCAGTCCCCACTCACTGTCAGAAAGAGAAGAAAATGAGCAGGGAAAGCAGCACAGCGTTAATTTTGAATGCGGATAACGCCAGCGAGGGGAGCCAAGGGCAACACAGCGGGGGGCGAAACCCAACCACTGCCTCTGCTTGCACTCAGCTCCGCGGCGCCTGCATGTTCCTTCCCCGCCGGCTGCTGGGTTTTAATTACAATTAAAGTATCTTGCAGAAAACAAAGCAACAAATTAACCCAAACAAAGAACCCGCTCCTTTCCTGACACCTCCCAGGCACTCTGCAGGCACAGGGAAGCCTTGAGACAGAGCTGTGCAGCTGCATTCCGTGCCCGGCACAGCACCGGGGCAGCACTGCGATGGACACTGCTGGTGCTGCGTGGAGCATCCCAGGGAGCATCTCCTGCAGGCACAGCACGGTGTGTCTGATGCAGCTGATGAATTCTTCTGAATGCTTTTTCCACCGCTGTTTGAGAGGAGAAGTTGAACATTTAGGCTTTGTCACGGTGAGGCCAGTGATTCAGGCAAGGAGCAGCGGTCGTCTTGGGTGAGTTCAGCCCAAGTGGGGGCAGTGCTGGAGGGGTGTCCATCCGCCCCAGCCTGTGCCCAGTGTCCCATCCCCCCCAAATCAGCCTCAGCAGTGCAGCCCCTGCCTGCCCTCCCCACCTCCTTCCCTCCAAACCAGGGCACGAGGCCACCAGCCTGAGAGGCTGCCGATATGATTCAGAGCCTCGTTAGTGGGCAGGAGGATTATGCAAATGAGCAGCATTTGGCAGGGCCAAAGCAAGAGAGGCAAGAAGGCAGGAAGGTGCCATTGGGGCCATAATAAATCAGTGATAGCTGGATTTATAGCCCCCATGTGTGCACAGCACCCTCCTGGCCACACACGAGCCAACCCAGGGCTTTGCAGGATCGAACCCTGCTTCCAGTTTCCAGCACCAGGATGGTTTTGTGTGCATCAATCTGAGCAGGATGGAGAGGTTGGGGCCATCCTGCCGTGCTCCCCAGCCAGCAAGCTGCCTTCTCCTTTATGCAAGCCTTCAGGACAGAGCAACTAAACTGGCATCAGTGCACTAAAAATAACCACAACCAATAGCTGCAACGTTTATATCCATAGCAACGTTGTTGAAAGCCTTTCTTTTGCTGGTGGGCTGTCTCAATACCGAGCTGTGGACCGGCAGCTCTCATAGGGAGCCTGAACCTGGTGGAGAATCAAACACCGTCCTCGAACGCGATGAGGCTGCAGCTCTGCACTATTATTCCCAGGCATGTTCATCTCACAAATGTTCTTTAGTCATCTGCTATTATCATGATGATAAGCCTTCGACTCTGAACTCCTCGAGCAATAATAAAACCCAAAGCCGCTGGCATTTGTGCCATTTAAAATCCACTCTCCTTGGGGAAAATGATCCTTTTTATGATTATTAAGCCATTTTTCTCCGGTGTCACCCAGTCTTGGCACACCCCCAGAATTTGTAACTGATGTGCAACTGTTGAAATAGAGAGAAGACGGGTTTTTTTCATTGATTTGGACCTGCACACCCCGTTGCCACTCTGGATGCTGTTGGCTTTGGATTCATTGCCCACCGGTGGCTCATCTATACATGCTGAGCAAGCTGAGGAGCGCTGAGCAATCTCTCCTTTGCCACCCCCAGTGTATGGCGGAGCTGGACTGGACTCTGTTCTTGTCCCCTGGAACAGCCAAAGCCTCAAGGGATCCTGGCACAGCAAAGGATAAACCAAACTCTCTGGACTTTTGGGTGGTTCTGTGTGGAGCCCGGAGTTGGGCTCAGTGATTGTTATGGTCCCATCCAGCTCAGGATGTCCAGTGGGATTCAGCCCAGCCCCTTCAGAGCGTGTGCTTCCAGGGGTGGCTGGAGGAGAGCATTCACCTTGGGAACGTGCTGAGAACATCTCAGAGAAGACTGGGCAGAAAGCAACAACAAAATGTCTTTTTTATATGTTAAAAGAGGCAGAAAAGTTTCCAGTATCACACCGGAATGTGTGATGTGTAATGGCCATCATACCCCAACTTTGGAAAGCAAGTCCTGACCTTCTGCTGTTCCCCATCACTCAGCAAGCACTGCCCATCTGCAGTGCTCACAGATGTGCAGGTGATTCCAGATGTGCAGGATGCAGTGAATGTCCAGACTGTGTTTGAAGCCAGCTCCATCCCCACTGCAGCAAACAGAGCCTAAGGGTGCAGCACCTGGATTTGATGGGCAGCATTTTGCCCCTTCGCCTTGGACGGAAGCAGTGTGGCATTGCTGGCCTCTGGTTTTCCTCATAGCATCCCTGCAAAGGAAGGATGTGGCTGCATTGCTGCAGAGGTTGTTCAGGGAGGGTGAAACTTTGGTGCAGAAGGGAAATGTCAGCAGGCAACTGGATGCACCGAAGGAGAAAGTTCAGCCCTGCAGCATGTTTGCACTTGGCCAGCACTGCTCTAATGCCTGCCTGCAGGTAGGTGTGATGGCAAGGCTGGTTTTCCGATGAGCCTAATGAATTCCTAAAAAGCAAAGGCACAACCTGGAGCCAGCATCCAGAACGACTGGGCTGTGACATGGTGAGAACCAGGAGCGCTGCCCCTCGCCTTCCTGCCTGCATCCCTTTTCTGCCAGCAGCAAGCCACTCATAGAAATGTAAATCTGCTGTAATTAAGAGTCTAATAAAGAGCAATTAGGATTGCAGTTCTGCCGCTGCTCCCTTGGGGTGAAAGCCTCCAGGCCACGTTCCTATCTCTGACTGCTTTCCTCTTAACCTTCTTCCACAAAGGAGGACAGGGAGGACAGGGACGTTTTGGTGGTGATGAGCACCACACGTCCCTGTGTTTTCAGCATTCAACATTGCACACAAAGACCCCAGAGCACCAAAGCACATCTGCTTGTAGAGTATTAAAGAAATTATTACTAAAGCAGGTGGGTTTTTTGATTGCAGAGTGCAGCCTGGATGCTGGTTGATATTTCCCTTTTCTGATCCTTGGTTTCTGAAGGCTAAATTTCCCATGTGGGAAGAGTCTGGGGCCCCTGGGTTGCATCTCCTGAATTATGCACCAGGCATTCCTTTCTGAGCTTCAAGGCACAGAGAAGGCAGCAGCTGGTGCCACTCAATAGCGATGTTTATTGGAGTCGAGGTCCCGGTTTGCCATTGGACCCTCTGCACCCAGGTGGCAATGCCAGCCTTGGCCAGGTGTGACTTGCTTCCTCCTGTTATCACCAATCCCTCTTTTCTCTCCTGCAGGGCCACCCATCATCTCCAGCACGCAGACCCAGCACGCCCTGCACGGCCAGAAGGGGCAGATCAAGTGCTTCATCCGCAGCACCCCTCCGCCCGACCGCATTGTGAGTAGCACCCAGTGCACTGAGCCATGGGGTTTGGCCACGCCATGGGGAGCCCCACGGGTGGGCAAAGCGCCCGCCTTGGGCTGACCCCACTGTTGCTTGGCAGGCTTGGTCCTGGAAGGAGAATGTCCTGGAATCTGGGACCTCGGGGCGCTACACGGTGGAGACGGTCAGCACGGACGAGGGGGTCATCTCCACACTGACCATCAGCAACATCGTCCGCGCTGATTTCCAAACCATTTACAACTGCACTGCGTGGAACAGCTTCGGCTCCGACACGGAGATCATCCGGCTCAAGGAGCAAGGTGGGCACGGCCGGTGTGGGGCTGCGGGAGCGGCCAGTGCTCCGTAATGCTGTTGGGATGTCTGAGGAAGGATGGAGGAGGAACGCCCCGAGGGTCCCAACTCCCAGCAGAGGGGCAGGAGGTGGGGAAAGCCCCGCTTCGCCTCTCTTAATGGAGACAGAGGGCATGCGCCAGCCTTGTGCTCCCCAACCCACAGTGCAAGGTGATGCCCATCCACCTGCAGCATCATTTGTAGCCACGGGGAAATGGGAGCAGCTGCTCCTTCCAGACCCACAGCCTTCAGGGTGTCTCAGGGTGGCTGGGGGCTCTCCATGGCAAGGGAGGGATGTGGCTCTAGGCGGCTCACTCAGCTCCTGGAGGGCCTCCAGTCCTCTTCTATTTTATTAAATGCCAGGGCAGGCAGGTGGATTGCTCTCATTAAGCCGTGATTTATAGGCAAGGCTGCCGTCCAGATTAAATCAGAGCTAAATGAACCCCTTAAAATTAGCCTTGGGTTTCTTCCAACGCAAACACAGCCAGCGGTTTCTCCGGGTCGGCTGCCAGCCAGCGGGAGCACTCGGTGTTGGCTGGGGGTCCCCACTCAGGGACATCCCTGCGGCGGGCAGGGGGACGCCGTGCGGTGGCCATCCCCTCCATCGGGCTGTGTGCTGGGAGCAGGAGGTGCTCCGAAGGCTGATGTGGGTGCCTGGGCTGTGCACGGCTGTGGACACTTGCTTTATTTTCAAACAGGTACGGAAATGAAATCAGGAGCTGGTATGCAAGCAGGTACGGAAGTGCTGAGCTGACGGTGAATACGAATTGTCCCCAGCCGTCACGACGCCTGAGGAGCCAGCGGGGCTGTAGGGCAGCACAGGGCAGGGGATGGGGAGCCAGGGGCACCGGTCCCACTCCGCTCCATGGCGAGCTGCCCTGCCTCTCTGTGCTCCAGCGCAGCCCCGCTGCAGGGGGTGATAATGCACAACCTGCAGCAAAGGGACAGCCACACTGAGCTGCCCCTCGACATCTCCCTCCCCACCCCTCTGGTCCATATCTCCCAGAGATCCGAACGCCTCCAAAAGCCCCACAACGAATCACTGCCTTTGGCATCAGGTCACCTGGAGAAGTGCCAGCACTTTACTGCCGGATGCTGCTGGGGCGGTTTGCAGCAGGGCGCTCGCTTCCTTGTCTGTGCTGAGTGCTTAGGGAAGAGCAGAATAGTGCCATGTGTGTCATGTCACCGATGGCCTGGCTCACGGGACAGGTGGCACAGCTAGGGAGAGGCAGGAGAGCCAGAAAGTGGAAAGCACCAGCAGAAGCTGTGTGCTGAAAGGCTCTTTGAAGTGTGAGTGGAGCCCCAGCTCAAGCAGCACAGGGTTGTGTCACTCTGCTGGTACTGAGATGGGGTTACACCTTGGGGGTCCCAAAGTCTTAAGGGAAGGATGGAGTTTTTGGTCAAAAACAGTTTTTCTCTTTGGGCTTAGAAAAGGTGCTTAGAGCTGCAGGGAACTTGGCTGTGGTTACATGGACAGGAGGTGGTGAGCTCTCCCCGGTGCAGGATGGGGTTCTGCTCCCCCCATCACAGCCACCCCACCCCTCCCAGCTGCTGTGAGCCTGGAGAGTAAAGCAGGAGACCTGTGGTGACAAAGACAGAGGCGGGCTGATAGCTGCTGTGTTAACCCAGGTATCTGACGCCCACAGCTCTCTCCTCATGGTCCTGGTGCCCATCTCTATCCCTCCGTGCAACCTCTCTCCCAGCCAGCTCTGATGCCATTTCTCTTTCTTAGCAATATCACCAGGCTGTCTTCTTTTGCACTTTGCACCCACAGCACTTGAGAGGCAGCCATTCATCCAATAAACAACGTGGCCCCACTGGAAGCAACAGCTCCTTGGCTCCCTCCTCCCTGCACACGGGGGAAACTGAGGCACAGAGAGGTCAGCGCTGCCCCAGTTGCAGCAAATGGCAGAGCTGCGCACTGCGCTCCCTGGGCTCTCACCACCCATAGGGACGCGGTGCTGCAGGGGTGCAGGAAAGGACCCCAATCCCTCCCCATCACCGAACCGATGGCCGGGACGGGTCCTGAGCTGGGGAGAGCCGCCCACTGCCTTCAGCCCCACTCATCTGTGCTCTCCTTCCTCTTGCAGAGTCGGTGCCGATGGCGGTGATCATCGGGGTGGCCGTGGGGGCCGGCGTGGCATTCCTGGTGCTGATGGCCACCATCGTCGCCTTCTGCTGTGCCCGCTCCCAGCGAAGTAAGTGCAGGGCGAGCGCAAACGGCCAAATGCAAAGGCCAACCATGCTCCCACTGATGGGCAGGGAGCACTGCGGGTTTGTCTCCTTTGCCATCCCCTTCTCTTCCTCTGCTGGGGCATCATATCGGCATCAATTCCATTGCAGTGAGGTCAGAGGTAGAGAGACAGCAGAGTGCTTCTGTGCGGTGGGGATTCATTTTGTACCTGGCTGCTGCAGATTCCTCTCTCAGGACAAATTTCAGAGTTCTGTGGCATCAGTTAAACAACAGCCTGCAAACAGAGCATTCCTGTGGGAGGGATGCAGCGACCAACCATAACTCTGGGGTGGCATCTCCTGCTGAGGACGCAGCAGAACGGAGGCTGGAGGCCGTTTGTCTTCTGGAAAAGAAAGGGAAAAAAGGCTTTACGGCACATCTGGTGTTGTATTGCTGGTGACAGAACAGCCCGGTGTTATTTAAGGGCAACGCTCCTGGGGGAGGAGGTGCAAGACAGTAATTAGCTTTTCCCTGTGATTAAATTCAGAGGCTCCTGCACCAGGAGTGTCATCCCAGCCAAAAACAAAGGCACAAGAAAGCAATAGGGGCCTCTCAGCACAACCCTGAGGTGTGGGGCAGCTGGCCGTGGGCAAGAGCAACGCTGAGTGGAGATGGAGGACGGAGCCTCAGAGCGCTGAGCTGGGGGCTGCTCGGGTTCACATCCATCCCTGGTTTTCACTTCGGATCCGTGCTGTTGTTTCTCCTCCCACTGCTCGCCTAGTTTTTCAAAAGGAACTTCTTCAAAGCTTGCCTGACACCTTCCGGGCAGCTGCGTGACAGCGGCGCTGCGTTGGGCCTCGCGCCCCAAGCGCTGCCTGCGCTCCGTCCATCACTTGGCCTTTCCTTTCTGTAGCTGCACCCCACGGCTGGAGGAGCCCTTCTGGGCCCAGCTCTGCCTGCTGGGCTGGGTCAGGGTGGACCCTGGGGATGTGTGGCTGCCTGGAGCTGAGCTCTTCTCCCTCTCTGCCTAGATCTGAAAGGAGTGGTTTCTGCCAAGAATGACATCCGCGTGGAGATCGTGCACAAGGAGCCGTCCTCGGGCAGGGAGACGGAGGAGCACCCCACCATCAAGCAGCTGATGGTAAGGACTTCCTTCCCCTCAGTGTGAGAACCTCACCGTGCTCTCCTGGCTGCACTGGAGATGTCAGTAAGTGCCGAAGCAGTGCGTGCAGATGGTGGTTTGCCTGGGGAAGCAGCAGGGAACGGATGAGCTGGGGGTGATGGTGGGGTGAGCCTGCCTGCCTTCACTGGTGCTGCTGGGTTGGTGTGGGAGGTGACAAGCACAAGCTGAACACAAACTGTGGGATCACAGAGTCGTTAGGGCTGGAAAAGACCTCTGAGATCACCGAATCCACCCCCATCGTGCCCACTAAACGACGGCTTTCTCTTTCCCCCTTTCTCTTTCCCCCTTTCTCTCTCCCCCTTTCTTTTCCCTAAGAATCACACTTGCGTTGGTTGTTCTGCAGCCATCTGTGACCTGCACGGCTCTGTGCTTCTCACAAATAATTATTCATGTGTCTGTAGGTTCGTTAACACCTTAGGAGACTCGTCATGCTGGCTGATTTGCATTTGTTCAGGTTATGTCAGCACGATCCCCAGTGCTACAGGTGGAGGGAAGGCTGTCAGCCCAAAAAGCAAACAGGTCACCCAGCGCAGTGTGCGGCGCCACGCACCCACATCAGCACAGCCGCTCTGGGACCTGACCATGGGCAATCCCCATTGAAACCCTGTTGGCTCCTGTAACGAACCCAAAGAAATTAAGATCCGCTCTGCAGGATCCGCCAGCCCTGATGAAAGCGGTGCCATTTGGAGTGCTCAGCACGCGGCGGATTAGGGAGCACTGCTCATAATTAGGCACTATTTCTGGGCAGTGCACAACCTTGAGGCATCCCCTCAATGCTTCAGAATAGCCAGAGTGGTGCTCTGCAGCAGGGCAGCTTTGCAGCAGGGGAAACTGAGGCACAGCAGGGATTGAAACTAGATGATCATTGTGGTCCTTTCCAACCCAGCCCATTGTATGATTCTATCATAAGGTGCCACTGGACTCATCCTTTGGGGCCGCACCACTGTCCCAGGCCAGGTCCTCAGCACCTCCAGACGTAGGCAGGATCAGATTCTCCCTGGGAAAGCCTTTGGGCTGTTGCTGGGCCCGGTGCTGCAGGCACAGCAGCTCTGGATGGGCTGCTCCCATTCCACCAGCGCCTCTCATGGGCATTCCTTCTTTCAAGCAAAACTCAGGTACTTTAATTTATTGCATTTAATAGCTGCATCAAAGGCTTTCAGAAGATGAAGAGAAAGTGCTGGAGGGTACATTTCCACAACCACTTACCTTTTTAAAAAAGGGAAAAAAATAAAACCAGGAGAGTAACCCTCAGGGGCACAGCATTGGGGCTCCGTGCCCAGAATCCAGTGGCCAGAGCTGCACAATCGATGCGAGCTGAGATAAAAGGCAGCAGAGAAAGTGGCTGGTAATTAGCCAGCCTGCACATCCCCACCTTTCTGGAGGAAGGGTAATTAAAGGCGTGTAATTAATGCATACCTTGCCTCCGATGGTGGTCAGCCTTCAAAAGAGGAAGTAATGAGGCAGAGAGGTGCAGGATCTCTGGTGCAGCACAGCCCACGTCAGCATGGAGCAGAACCCTCCGGGACTCACATGTTTTGAGAAGAGCCAAAGTTGGGGGATTGAAAAAAAGTAATCAAGGCTTTCACATTAATTACGGCACTGTGTCTTATGCCAAAAGCCAGCTGGGACTTTTCTTTTTTTTTTTTTTTTTTTTTTTTTTTTTTTTTTTTTTT